AAAGAAAAAGAAAACCTCCGGCCTAAGTGTCGTGCCGCGTAAAAGAAAACCTCCGGCCCCAAGTGTCATGCCATGTAAATGAAAACCTCCGACCTCTGGCCCCAAGTGTCGCGCCGCGTAAAAGAAAAGAAAACCTCCAACCTCCAGCCCCAAGTGTCGCGCCGCGTAAAAGACAAAGAAAACCTCCAGCCCCAAGTGTCGTGCTGCGCAAAAAAACCTCTGACCCCAAGTGTCATGCTACACAAAAAAACCAGAAAAACAAACCTCCGGCCAAGTGTCGTGCTGAGCAAAAGAAAACCTCCAGCCCCAAGTGCCGTGCTGCTCAAAAAAACCTCCGGCCCCAAGTGTCGTGCTAGTTGCTCAAAAAAACCTCCGGCTCCAAGTGTCGTGCTAAAGAAAACCTCTGCCTCAAGTGGCGTGCTAAAGAAAACCTCTGGAAAACCTCCGGCCCCAAGTGTCGTGCAAAAGAAAACCTCGGCCCCAAGTGCTGTGCTAAAGAAAACCTCTAGAAAATATAAGCTCGAAAGAGCCGAGCAAAAAAACCTTCCAGTCCCAATTTCTGTTTGGAAAATTAGGCAAAAGAAATCCTCCGACGTAAGGGCCCCAAGTGTCATGCTGTGCAAAAGAAAACCTTCGGAAAAGATCAACTCGAAAGAGCCGAGCAAAAAAAACCTTCCAGTCCCAATTTCAGTTTGGCAAATTAAGCAAAAGAAAACCTCCGCGCAAGGGCCCCAGTCCCAATTTCAGTTTGGCAAATTAGGCAAAAGAAAACCTCCGCGTAAGGGCCCAAGTGTCGTGCTGCGCAAAAAACAACCTCCGGAAAACATCAGCTCGAAAGAGATGAGCAAAAAAACCTTCCAGTCCCAATTTCAGTTTGGCAAATTGGGCAAAAGAAAACCTCCGTGCAAGAAAACCTTTAGCCCCGACCCCAAGTGTCATGCTGCCCAAAAAGAAAACCTTCAGCCACGGCCCCAAGTGCCATGCTGCCCAAAAAGAAAACCTCCGGAAAACATCAACTCGAAAGAGCCAAGCAAAAAAAACCTTCCAGTCCCAATTTTAGTTTGGCAAAGTAGACAAAAGAAAACCTCTGTGCCATAAAACCTTCGGCCCCAGTGCCGCAATAAAAAAACATCCGCTCGAAAGAGCCAACCAAAAAAACCTTCCAATTCTAATTTCAGTTTGGCAACTTCCAGTTCCAATTTTAGTTTGGCAAATTGGGTACTTCGCTTTAGCACCAACTTGAGAGGGAATGTTGAAGATAAACCAAGTCAAATTGCTTGGTCAAGTTCGTTATTGGTGATAAACCTCATATTATTTTCCTCTATCTCCAATATTCATTGTGATTGTCCTCTATATATAGACGTATATTTGTGTAATCTTTTATCCAAATAGTGAAGATGTAGTTTATTGTGATTGTCCTCTATATAAAGAGGCACGTATTTGTGTAATCTTTTATCCAAATAGTGAAGATGTAGCTATTGGGCTTTGGATTCGTAGACGTAAGGCTTCGGCCTGAACCACTTAAATCTTGTGTTATCTCTCTTCTTCTCCCTCCAATATTTTGTATTATCTCTCTTCTTCTCTTTACATTCAATGTTTATGCTCATGCTCTCTCGAGCTGAGCAAAAGAGAACTTTAACATGGTATCAGAGCAAAAGAGAACTTTAACATGGTATCAAGTTGGTTATTGGTGATAAGCCTCAATTTCAGTTTGGCAATTTGTTGTTGGTTATTGGTGATAAGCCTCAATTTCAGTTTGGCAATTTGCTGAAATTTGACTTAAGTCTATGCACGAACTTGCCAAACTGAAATTGGAACTGGAACGTTCTTTTTGCTCGCCTCTTTCGAGACGATGTTTTCTTTTATGGGGTATTGGGGGCAAAGGTTTCTTTTTTTTAACTCTGATACCATGTTAAAGTTCGAGTTCCAGAGAGCATGAGCACAGACATTGAATGTAAAGAGAAGAAGAGAGATAACACAATATTATGAAGGGAGAAGAAGAGAGATAACACAAGATTTATATGATTCAGACCAAAGCGTTATGTCCATGGATCCAAAACCCAATAGCTACATCTTTCCTATTTGGATAAAAGATTACACAAATACGTATCTCCTATATACAGAGGAGAGGAAAATAATATGAGGCTTATCACCAATAACCAACGATCACAAAGAAGACAATCACAATGAATCTTGGAGATAGAGGAAAATAATATGAGGGCTTATCACCAATAACCAGACAATCATAATGAATCTTGAAGATAGAGGAAAATTATATGAGGCTTATCACCAATAACCAACTTGACCAAACAATTTCACTTGGTCTATCTTCAACAAACATCAAGCAATCAGAAGACCACAGTGCTCTCTCTCTTGCCTGGTAAGTTGGTATTATTGTTTTCTTTTATGATTCTTGTCTTCATTTTACATTCACTTCTCTCGTTCTTCTTCTGTTACCAATCTCTATAAAGAGGGAGATATTGTTCATTAATTCTAGGTATATGCCCAAGAATTAATGCATCAATAACCGCAAGAAAGTTTTCAAGATAATAAGCAGAGAGAAGAGTTTTAAGAATTGCAAAAGATAGAGAGCAATGATCCGGCTGTGTATTTTAGAAAATTTAAAAAATTATAAAAAATCCCCAAAAAAAAAAAAATTCAAAACAAATTAGATAAAATCCCTAAAAAGAAGACATTTGTTTGTAATGAGTTTTTGAATCTTTTTTATCATTTTAACAAAGAATGGAAAGTGTTTTGGCTATGAATAATTTTTTCTTCCCATTTGTTTTTAAAAATATAAAAAATACTCCTAGGCACAAATCAATTTTTCAAAATCAATTTTTTTCCACTAAATTTCAACTTCATTTGGATTGCTTTGTTTAATCATGCTTTAAATATAATTTTCATATTTTTTAGACTTTTTTGTATTTTTTTTTTTTAGCAATTTTTTGACTGGCTAGGACTTGCCCTGTTAGGCCAATATTGAACTGGAGGATTTACCAATTACTCATAACTGGCCCTTGGCTGATTTCCAATGCCAGTTTAATTTTTTGAACACTGACAGACAGAGTCCTACAAGGGGGTCAAGAACTAAGAGTAATAGGAGAATGAGTAATTATGAAGCTTTAATCTTGTTAAGAGAGAGTAATCCCCAAAATATAAAGAGAGTTTCATAAATTCTGATATTTTAGTTATAGCAATCGAAAAATAGGTGGTATTCCGATTGAAGTTTGGAAACCCATGGGGGAGATGGGCATTGACTAGCTGACCAATTTGTTCAACAAGGTGTTCATGTTAGGTTAGTGTGGCCATTAAAGGCGTTATGGGATCTTGTAATAAGAATTGTATGGAACTTAAACTGAGTAGGCGTGTGGTCATGTGTTTATCATACTATGAAAATGTTATTTGCCATAAATGATTTGCATACTAGGCAAGTAGAGTTAGAAAATCCTTGATTCCTTGACATGGAATAAACACTGATGAAGGTTGATGCGTTATCCCTTGATGAGGTCGGAGTTGCCCAAATGAATGAACCAAGGGACTGTGTGACCCTTGTGTGTGATGGTTGATCTTTAGAGATAAGGGCCAAAAGCCTCGTTACTGATCCACCATTGATGGTGATGCGTTCACATGTGCAAGAGATTATCCCTATGCACCATAGAGTTCTGGTTGGATCAAGTCTGTGTGTAATCTTAGAAGTCATGTCTTGCGGAGAGCATGTAATTCATAGACTAGGATTTTATCCCTTTGCGACTTTGGTAGCCTAATCATGAGCACTGGTATTAAACTTTGGGCCATGGGTACTACGGGTCAGTTTGAGAAAGCAAGTGTGGATTATAGTACACAATAGAAGACGGAGTGCCTTAGACCTTAAGGATCTTATTCCCATCAAATTTATTTTTCTTACATATTAATTAATTATTTTTAAAATTCTAAATACTTTATTTTTTTTGTAAAATATATTTAATAAATTAATATTCAATAAACTAAAAAAAACAAAATAAAATTGTCCTTTTCAATTTTTTAAAATATTATAAAAAAAAATGTGTGGGCTTATAGGGGCCATTGGACCCATTTTGTTTTGCAGGGGGGCCCACTATGTGGCACGCCACTTTTAGTGGGGCCATGGGGTTACGCCCCACTTTGTGGAGGCTTCCTATTTTCATGGACCTAGGCGACACTTTTAGTGGGAGGGGCCACGCCCCATTTCTTTTTGGAGCAAGGTGGCACGCCACCTATAGAGGGGAGCCACGAGGGGTCATGTACCACCCTACCTTTTGAGATCCTTATTTTAAGGAGATTTTGTTTCTTATTTCAAATTTTATGGTTTGAAGATATCACTTAAGATGTCGGAGTGTTGTTATTTGAAATCAAAAATATGTTTTGAAATATTTAATTAGTTAAAGAAATATAAATGTATTGACTAGATACAATGTACCTGATATTTAAGTATATTTCTTATTTGGTTTAGGAACTCAAAGATAACGCTAACCCAGTCTCCAAAATGAAAAATAAAGATCAAATATTGTGATCGCTATCTCTATGGACCTATTCCTGAAAAACCCTATAAATAGGGCATCTTATCTCATTCTTGGTACGCCTCTCTCTTCTCTTTCCCGTTCTTTTTTATCATGATAGCTGATCTAAAGAATAGATGGCTCAGATCACAGGTCTCCAAGATCAAAAAATCAGAATCAAATTTTGTGATGGCTCTCTATAGGTTCAGATTGCTAGATCGCTCACCCAGGTCTCCCAAATCAAAAAATCACAAATTTTGTGATGGCTATCTCTATAGATTCAGATCCCTCACCCAAGGTCTCCAAGATAAAAAATTTAGGATCAAATTTTGTGATGGTTATCTCTATAGAACTATATCCCCTCTGACAAACCCTATAAATAGGGCCTCTTCTCCCATTCTCGGCACGCATCTTTCTTCTCTCTTCCTACTTTCTCTTCAAGGAGCAAGCCCATACACCCCACTTAGGTTGAGATTTATTTTATTATGGTTCGTAAGCTCTCATATTCTAATGATATAGGCATAGCTTTCCAAGATAAGATCCAGAAGGAGACCCAGTATGGAGTGTTTCAAAGACCGGTTGAGGTAATCTTTCGGCGTTCTTAATTTTTATTCATGCAGTTCATTATTTCTTAGTCATGTTTTGCTTTTCTCTTTATTTAATAAAGTTGATTGTTCTTAGTGACATCAAGTGAGGGCCATCTTATTTATTTTATTTATTTATTTTGAGTTAAAATAATTGTAAATGACCATTGTAAGTGTTCTAGTCAGTATAAAAATAAAATAAAAAATAAAATAAATAGAAAAATCAAATGAAAATTAGTGCATTACTAGATCACCTAGTCCTACTTTCAAAGATTACCCTGGTCCTACTTTCATTGGTATCAGAGCAAGGTCTTTTAATGCTCATGGGATTTTATTTTCTTATTTGTTATTTATTTTACAAAAAAAAAAAGAATGGCTGCACGTACATTCTTCTCTGAAATCCTGAAAACCGAGATATTTGATGGAACTAATTATGCCTCATGGAAGTGCAAAATAAAATACATACTCTATGAGGAAGGTTTGGATGGTGTAATGCACCACCTATGATCTAATTCATCTCAACAAACTAAAGATGAATATGCTTCTTGGTAGCACAAAAATAAGCATACCAAGAATGGGTAGCACAAAAATAAGCATACCAAGAATGTCCTCTTATGGTCAATGATTGACTTGTACGCATATGAGTATAATTTAATAAAAACCACGAAAAGAATGCACGAGAGGCTCAAGAAAGAATACACAGATGCGACTGTGTTGAGGAAGGCTATAGCCATGAAGAAATACAACAAGCTGAAGATGGACAACTGAGCAAAGAAATACAACGAGCTGAAGAAATTGTCTTCTATCTATCACTACTGCTGCTGCTTTCAAGTATGCAATGGGCTTTTTTTGAGAGAATGAGAGAGAGAGAGAGAGAGAGAGAGAGAGAGAGATTGGCAACTTAAAGATTCCTTGAGCGGCTCCATGGTTATGCAAAGCCAGGTTGCATCTTGGCAATCACGGGTCAAACTTGATCCATGATCAGTAATTATCATCTACCACTACTGTTGCTGCTTTCAAGTACGCAATGGGCTTCTTTTGAGAGAGAGAGAGAGAGAGATTGGCATATTGAAGTTTCCTTGACGGGCTCAATGGTTATACAAAGCTCTTTGCAATCATGGTTGATCCTTGATCAGTAAATTGTTTCTCTTTGTGTTCATTGTTAGAATTTGTAGAGAGAGCTCATAAGGATTTATTGGAATTTTTGTACATTTTTTTTCTATGCTTTTAATGGTCTATGAAGGGATTGGTTGTTAGGTTCACTAAGAAGGGATTGTATCTTTTAAAATTGTATTAGGTGCCCACCTTATACTACCAAGGGATTGCTTCTAGAGGATGTCATTTTGTTTTGAACATTGCTTCTAGAGGATGTCATTTTGTTTTGAACATCTTCCTAATTGCAGGAAATCAAGAAGCCTAACATATTCTCTCCAAAGCCCTCACTCAATTGCTTCTTGATCATAAGAACCAAAAACAATCATTTAATTGCTCTCTAAAAGTATGAGCGTGGCAGTACTAATAATATAATAAAATAAAAATTTTATATTTTCTTATTGTTTGCCATAATATTCAATAAAGCAGTTGATAAAACCACTAACCAATTACTTAATTTATAATAGCCCATGCATGCACCCATATATTCATTTTTATGTAGTGCAATATTTATGTGCAATAATAATTGCCTTATCTGTCACATGCATTCAATATATGTTTAAAATTTGTAGTGATACTATATGACCAAAAAGATGAACATAGAGATTCACTCAGCATCTTTAGTAAGTCTAAATAGTAAAACCATACCATCCTCAAAGAGAGGCCTTGGTATTGATTTTAGAAACACTTATATCTCAAATTAATTAAACTTATGAGAAAATTGGAAGAGGCATTGAATTAGAATGATTTGTAAATAAAAGTCGAAATGACTATTTGATCTCTTATTTGAAAATTGATCATTTTATGAACCCATGGGCCATTTTCTTTCGCTGCGTTATAAGTATTATTGTTTTCATTTAGTACTACAGTGAGAAGTTTTAAGTCACTTAGAGACATGTCACTTGTTAGAGTTGTGAGGCATCTCTTTGATAGACTTTTGAATTTTCAGTGATTAATCATGCGACATTATGGTTATAGATCCTCGCTTGTCTAAACATGCTTTTCATACCATGGTGATCATATGCATTCACTGTCACATAGATGATCCACTAGATAGCTTCTACCGGTCTCTAAAAGGCTAGTAGGCCTTTTAGTAGAGTACGCATAATCCACTTGAACATGTTTTTAATACTTTGTGAGACCTTATATAGAGCTGCATATTTATATGTGGATTATAATATAATTATATGATGATAATGACACTTCATTTTGTGAGCTAGTCACACTGATAATGACTATCTATGCATGGACTATATGCATATAACTTAATGTAATTGGTTGTTTATCATGAGATACTTTGTCAGATTAAATGTGAGAAATATCCAATAAACTTTGATATGTCCCACATTACATGAGATATTGTCCTAATTGATTCAAACTTATAATGTGTTTGGTCACTCGGACATGTATAATTGAACCTCTCTTGATCTTGGGATTAGATCTAATTAATAGGTTCATGATGACACCTGCTAGCTATCTAATCCGAGTGTAATATCAATAAGAGATTGAATGTATTAAATAGTAAAATGCTCCCACACCGTGGTTTTGAATAGATAAAGTACCAGTTCGTGACTAAGGAAACTTTGAAAACAATGCATGTGATTATAGCATGATTTTGATGAACTTTTATTCGAGTAAAAATATGTGTTACTTGAGAATTGATATGTACATAGAGTTGTGAACTTTTGAGTACATGAATAAATGTTGAGAGAGCAAGTAAGAAGATGGATGTGAACAAATATGTCAACCTTTATGAGCATAAATTGTCATGAACATGCACATAAAAGTACTGCACTCTTTGTCATACCATATGTTCCCATATTTCTTTCTTTTAGGGATACCCATTGCATTCTTAGAATATGTGATTGTTGAAGATGACGATTACTTCTGCAATTAGCACCTAGTAGATTAGTATGTCAAGCATTGGCATGAGTATGATGTGATATGTTGATACATAAACTACATGATATTTGATTAAATATGTAGATGAAGGAGATCGAACATGACATTGAAATTGTGATTTGTGGTTTATGTGACATACACCAGATAGAAAGAGTTCTTGACAATTTACTCTTGCGATTGCGTATGTTTGACCACACTTGCTTTTATTAGTTCATAACTATTGATTATGTTAATGGACCATGTTAATTGACTATGTTTATGGAGCATAAAATGGTTTATGCTTATGTATGATATGAGATTGAGAAAATTAACTTATTTGTTGATACTTGCCCCCTTGTTTGATATAAGTATTGCTTTTATGGTAGAGAATGAATGTTTTAAATTATATCATTGTGTATAAGAATGAGAGAGAGAATCGTTTATAAAGCCTCAAAGGGCCAAGTGGGAGAATGTTGGCTATGTGACCTTTCAAGGCCTTAAAACTAATAGTCTTACTCTCAGTGGGAGTTAAAGAGAGACTGAATCTAGGTGCTTGGCGCACTGGGGCCCAGATTCATATACTCCGAGTATTTGCGACACTGTGAGTATATGTTTTGAGAGTGTGAACTCTCAGGGAGGTGTGAGGGTCACCTCCCAGTTAGGACTATATTGATTAAAATGCCTCATACTTGATGTGATAACCCAGGGCTTGGAGAATCCAATCAAAGAATAATAGAACCCGAGTATTGAAAAGAGTATTGGCTCTGTATGGAATGATCGGCTCATGGGACATGAGCCCGTATACGGACATGAGACCGTTCCATGGCATGTGCACCCATAGTCGCATGGGGAAGCCATTCTTCTATAGTATTATCCGATTTAGAAGAGGTAGTGCACATGTGCTTTAAGAGGACCCCTGTATTTGAGTAAGAACATATCCCACAGGGTTGCACCAGTAATCCATTGAACCCCTGGTGACGGGAAGCTCTAGCTCAACGACTTTGACGTGAGCAATTACATGTCCCTGCCATAGACTGTGGAGCATAGGTCCATTGGGTCTGCTTGAGATACAGGTGGAATGTCATTCAGATTAGCCCAATGGAAGACTCCGACTAGTGTTATAAGTCTAGAGATCTCATTTACCTTTGACCCATATTAACCTAAAATTGATGAGAAATATTTTATATGGATAAAAAATTGTGTAATAATATTGAGAAATTATTTAGAGAATTTTTGGGATTTTTTCAATTTTTTTTTCAAATAATAAAATACATTTTCAAATTTGGAGACCCATTTGTCATTAATTCTTTTATTGGTATGATGTTCTAACACGTTATCTTGTTATTTAAAGTGTTATATATTATTATGACTTAAGTCAGATTTAAGTCACATATTTTTTTTTTGCTCATATGTATCATTTTTTGCTTGTGTGAAGTCATGGAATTTTGAGAATTAATTTAATTCATATTATTATCTACATATAATTTATAGTATGTGAGTATATCTTATGTAAAACCACTTTATGATATACAACTGATGAGAGGTTTATTTCATCATATTTGAGCATAATAAATAGTCCATTAAGTTCCCTTTTTAATGTTGAAAAGTTCGTGTGGCCATTTATGGACTACATGGTGTAGTTTCACCATAACTTCTTTATTTTGTGTAGTATCTCTCTCAAACTTTGAAAAGCTATTTCGATACATATCTCTCTTATGATTTTGATCCCTATTAAGTGAAATAAGTGTGATCATTTGCTTCCCATTGGATTGATCTCTTTGAGTTATTATTATCACCCATGCCTTAGACAATGAGACAAAATTAAGTCTTCAAAAGACCCTTTCTTGGCCTGGGCACAAGGGGTTCGAACCATGGTTTTCCCATCTATGTTTGCATGTTAATTTGATGTATTTACAGTTATTAAATAGATTCATGATTGGTTAAATTGAGTATGTTGAGTGAATATT